TTGATTCAAATTTCATAAGGAAATTTTTTGAGAGGGGAAGCAAGGTAGGGATAGTAGTGTGGTGGAATTCTTAAGATAAAATATCAATCTAAGCATAATCTACATTTTACATATGTTATAATTTCCTATGAAATATTTCCATACATTTGAGCAACCTGACAAGGAAAATAAATCACAGATTTATGTTGTTTTTCAATATATAGCTAGATATTAAGAAGAATGGATTAAAACTTGTTCAACACTGTGTAAGAACCCACATTTAGGGGGCTAACAAGATAGCTCAGTGGACTAGCATCTGCTAGGCAAGCTCAGGAAAGCACAGGAACCATGGTTCAATCCCCAGCACCACATGCTGCACCAGCCCCATCCCTAGGATGGGCTGAGCCAGTCTGGAGCATGGTGGCACATGCCTATAATCCCAGTGCTGAGGAGGCTGAAAACAGGAGGATCACTATGAGTCAGAAATGCATGGTGAGACCCTGTAACAATCAAATGCATTAAAAAATAAATAAAGTATGATAAATGCCAGATTTTTTTAAAAACCCACATTTAGAGACCTAATAACCCTTTTATCTTTCAAAACATATTAAAATTTGTAATTGTTCATAAGCATAATATTCAATAAGTAACATTCATAGGTACATTATTTCTTGTAAAAACACACTCAGTTGTAAATATCCAAACACCAAGAGCTTCTGATTTTCCTCCTCCATTTGTTACTTCTTTCTTGTCTTTGCTTTCCCTTCTTTCAAGCAACATAGGACTTATTTGGAAAGAGATTCTGGCTTTTGTGACATTCACTTTTTATGATATTTTCCAAGCCAACCATATCTATTTCTATGACTTCTAGTGTCATATGCTTCTAATTATTCCAAATTTTATAGTTGTAGATCCAAACTAACCTGATCTTCAAAGGCATACATGATGTAGCCTATTTAATGACTTCATTTTGATATCAGTCTCCTCAAACTTGGTTCATCAGAATAATTTTCCCCAGTTTCCAAATTAATTTTCTCTTTAAAATTTAGCTAGTTTCTCAGTAAATTGATTTATCTTTAAGCAATCCTTTTGATTCATATACCCAACTAGTCTAACAGTAATTACTGACATTAGGACCTCCAAAATAGTTCTCAAGTATATCTTTTTTCATTTTCTTTGAAATTGGTTCAAGCTACCAACTTCTAATTTTGGATAAGTACAGTTGATCTCTGACCTTCACCCTGTTGCTGCCTGACCCAACTCCAATTCATTTGTCCTAAAAACAACCGGAAAAATATAGAAAATATGTCCTTCTTCATTGATTTCCTTTTGTTCTTAGAATAAATATACAAACTTATTACCACAAATTATGCTTACTGTGTGGCCCTGCCTGATAAATATGGTTTCCTGACCCATGTAAAATATGCTCCTGATGTTCTTCACCCTTAATCTCTATATTTTAATTATCTTTGATACGTATGAATAATTGCATATGCCACTCAGAAAATCTCATATGATACATTCATGTTTTTATATGCTTACAAAGTTTATATTGTCTTATTTTTTCTAATCTTTACAATTCTTTAGCTGCCCAGTATATAACTCCTAAAATATGCACCTTTTGTTTTATTATTTTTTTATTTATTTTCTATTTATTTATTTATCCTGTATTTAGGACAGGGTCCACATGGTCTATAGGGTCTCACTACATAGATAGGACTCATAGTAATTCTCCTGTTTTCAGCTTCCAAAGTGCTGGGATTACAGGCATGCACCACCATGCCCAGTTTCAATTGCCATCTCAGGGCGCCCCGTGGGTGGGGCCTGCACTGCACGTGGGGGATCAAACCTCAGCTGCTATGCTCTGATTAAGCACGTACTTTAGTCCCCTGAGTTATCAGGGCAGCCCAACATCTTTTATTTTAAATACTGCTGTATAAAAATCCTGACCAAGAACACTAGCCATTCATTTGCATAGTTGACTACTCGTATATTTAATATGGGATCCATAAATTGAATATATAAGATTTTAGTTCAGTCAGCTATACTTTACCAAATTATAAATGTGTAGTGCATGTGGCTTAGATATATTTATTTTGGATAATGTAATTACTACATTATAACCAATCATTGATTAATGAACATATGCATCTCAGAGAGATCATCATTATGTATTTGGTGCCTAAATTAATCACTGATACAAAATTGTGATTGAATTAACATTGATAAAATGAGTGACTAAATAAACCAGATGTTACATTGCTTTTTACATCAAAGCAGGGAGAGAGTTGTCCCCTGGTTTCACATTTCTGTAAGTTCTTGAATATTTTTATTGTTGGTTATATTTGCAGTTATATGGCAAAATAGCAGGAAGATAGTTCTTTCCAATGTAAATGGCAGATACACATTTAAAAAGTGGTAAACATAACATCTCCTTTTGTAACAATTGACATACGTTTACTTGCCAGGATAATTCTATTTCTTTTTCTGTAAAGGAAACTACTACACAATATCCAAAACAAATAGAAACATGCTCTTGGTCAGAAATGTGAAAAAAAAATTATATATATATATATATTCTCTTCTTACCACTTAGGGCGAGAATCTGGTTGTTGTTGACCCTCTTGACAGAATTATGTCATGTAAACAAGTAGGTAGGAAAGCTTTCCCTGAATGCTAATTCAATGCAAAAAAAAAAGAAAAAAAATAGAAAAAAAGAAAGGCAGAGGCAAAAATGTGGCTGAACTCAACTCTGCTAAAGTAAAAAAACGAAACCTATAGTTTGCAAGACCTGTGGTAAGTCAGAGGTTGTAACAAACTGTGTTTTCTAAATGGCATTAAAAACAAAGTAAACTTTTTCCTACTTGTCTCTAGCTAGTTTTATAATGTGGAGCAAGGTGCTAACTAAAATTAGGCTTCTATTCTCCTAGAGGGAATGGGAGATGGGGTACTATACTCTGGGATGTTTGCATTTCTAAATGACGCCTTCTACATCATTGAGAATAGTCTCATTTTGTAAAGCTGGTAAGAGGTTGTTTGTGATTTTAAAAGTCTTATTAGTACATGTCTGTAATACATGTTTGTAGTACATGTTTGTAGTACATGCAATTTACAATTATCTTTAAGAGTGTGTATATGTAGAGTACAGAATTTGTTTGTTTGTTTTTTATGTACTTGGTACAGGGTCTCACCGCACAGCTCCCACTCATAGTGATCCTCCTGTTTCCAGCCTCCCTGACGCTGAAAGGGAGGCATGTACCGCCATGCCAGGACTCAGTGCAAGGCTCAGCATGCTTCTGGGGGTGGGGCTGATGTGGCGTGCTGGATGAGGGATCAAAACCCTGGTCCCTGTGCTTGCCAAACTGCTTGGTTCTTTTTTTAAATCACCTTTGCAATCTGTCTCACATTCTTGCCTCCTCTCTTTCTCCCCTTTCTCCATTTTCATTTTTGCTAAAACCATTAATTTTAGTTCACATTTCTGACATATAATGTTTGCATTTAGTAAGGTTGTTAAGGGGGCCGGGGAGATGGCTCAGTAGAATAAGCGCTTCCCTGGCAAGTGCAAGGGCTTGTGTTCAATCTCCAATTCTGAAATTTAAAAAAAGGTTATTAAGTTCCTGTACATGGCATATCATTATTTTGCTTCCCCTCTACCTCTTCTCAGCAGATTTACCCTGGGTCCTTCCTCTCTGCAAGAGATTTATACTACCGTCACCTTCTAGCTGTCTTTCATTGTGCTCATTGTACTTTACCTTCTCAAAAGACTTACATCTCAAAGAACCAATTAAATAATTTTCTCAGTGCACCAGAAGCAGGAGGAAGTTTAGAGAAGAGGAAAGGAATGGTAAAGGTCATCTTGCTCACCCTGCGGAGACTGCAGATTCGGAAACCAACGAAAAGCCAAAGCCAAAGTTCACAAAAATTAATCATGCTTTGAGTGCTACTGATGCTGTAAATAATACAATCCCATCTCTTCTTGATCCAGGAGTCATTTAGGCATCAAAATCATAAACCCAACTTGCCACCTTGAGAGTATAATAATATCAGAGACATCTCTGAGTTCTTGAGAATCAGATGTTGAGTATCTTATTTCAGGGCAGATAGTCAATAGAGAAAGACATCAATTCAGTCATAAGTGATGTGTGATTTAAATATTTTGGAACTGTTTAGCATTTAGGAAAAATCATTTTGAAGAAGAAAACTTAGAAAATAAATCAGTTGTACTATATTCTTCCAGTGATAATTCACTATTAATATTTTGTTGTAATTTGTTTTATGTTTAATATAAAATTTGTTTTGTTTAATTATTCTCTATGGTGATGTGTTTGATGTTAAATTCTCTAAGTTTCAAATAAGCTTATTATGATGTCATTAGGAATACAAAACACAGACTATGCCACCTTGAAATTCAAATTAATATTTCAATGAAGCAATGTAGCATTGCTTAAAATGAGGAGGTATTTAAATTTACTATAGAAATCCTCTTCAAGACTTGAGGGACAAGGATGTAACATCTTTGACTTTTCTTAAGATTTGCTTCACATTTAGTCATATGAATAGTAGATTTAAATTTCTTTCATAGAACATATAGATGATAATATTTATTTTGCCTCTAAATAATGTTTTTGTGAAGTCATGTATAGTAGTTTCGACCTTGTTGCAATTATTTTTCTTTTTTCTTTTTTGGTGGAACTGGGGATTGAACTCAGGCCCTTGAGCTTGCCAGTGAAGTGCTTATTCTATTGAGCCATCTTCCTGGCCCTTATTGTAATTATTTAACAATTGAAATCTATGCTGAATTGAATAGTTTGTGTTAAAAAATAAATAAATAGTTTGTGTTGATAATTTAATTTTAGAAACTCTGTGAATGAAATTCATTGAATATGTTCAAATTTGATTTTTTTTTATTGTGGAAAGAACACATACCACAATGTGATATCTATGTTCTTAACAGGGTTTTAAAAGTAAACTCTGATATATTGACAATTATAAGCACAATATCAACTTGTCCAATGTTGCAGGTGTGACAGTGCTTGAAGGGCCTATTTATGCCGTGGGAGGCCACGATGGCTGGAGCTACCTGAACACAGTGGAGAGGTGGGATCCTCAGAGCCAGCAGTGGACGTTTGTGGCTAGTATGTCCATAGCTCGGAGCACGGTCGGTGTAGCAGCACTGAATGGCAAGTGAGTAGATTTCTCTTTATTTTTTAGGAAGCAGTAATTGAGTAAATATTCTTCTGTAAGTAACAGTAGGCTGGTCAGACAAAAAAAGAGAAAATATATATTAAGGTTTTTTTGTAGTATTGAGATAAAATCCAATGTTATGTGCATTCGAGGACTCTATTGCTGAGCTGAACCTGATTTATTTGAAATTTCTTCTCTACATATATTTTAATAATTTTAGTGAGAAAGAAGTAGCAATAAAACAGCTTCAACTGCTGAGTTCCGGGAGCCCCCAGACCCAGTCCTAGCCCAGGTCCGGTGAGTGTGCAGAGAGCTTCCTGCTACCCTGCGCCAGTGGGACCAGTCCCAGCCCAGGCGCAGAGTGGGCCAGACCCTCTCCCAGCCCCTTGGGCCGCCCCCCACCACTCCACAGTGCCTCCCCCACCCCGCGCGCTGAGTAAGATTTTCTGCCAAGTTCCGGGAGCCCCCAGACCCAGTCCTAGCCCAGGTCCAGTGAGTGTGCGGAGAGCTTCCTCTTCCTCCAACTTCACCTTGCCCCCTCCAGGCACAGCTCAGGCCTGGCATACACGCCTGAGGTATAATCCTGCAGCTGCAACCTCTGCAGGGGAGAGTGTAGAGAATAGATCCAACCAGCTAGTCCAGGAGCA